CATAATAAAAAATAAATGCATCCCCTGTTCTTAATTCTTAAACTTTAACCTAGATCCTGCCCGGACATGCCTGGGCTTGGTCAAAGCTTATTCCCCTTCCTTTTTTGGAAAAGTTACCTCTTCTCTAAGCATTCCTCACGTTACTTCCTCCTCCTCTGTTCTCCTCAGGCTTTACCTGGAAAGTTTCCAAGTTTTTAGCCAATTGGGTTAAGCATAGAGTGTGAGGTCCCGTTCTGGCCAATGGAAATTGGACCCAGCAGTAGGGCGACTGTGTCGGGTTATGAAAGTTATCAACGTCCCTGTCTCCTTGTTCAGGTGTGCCCTCCTGGCAAGACGGCCGGCGAGTTGCACCCTTCCTGCAGGAAGTAAAGCAGCCTTGCTGAGTGGTCCATTGTCTCACTGTGGGTTTTTCCCAACGTTTTAAACCCGTTTCCAACAAATTATGTGTCAAAAAGTCCACCAGATTCCAGCCCCTCAACCTCGGAATTCCCAGCCTCCAAAACGATAAGAAATACGTTTATTTTCATTACAAATTTCCCAGTCTGTCATTGTTACAGCAACAGAAAATAAACTTGGGGATACTGGGTTGTGGAGAGTAAAGAAAAAGTTCCAACCCATCAAGGCATCCTCATTCTCAACATGGCCTGCATTCTACGCTCCAGGGTCCCCCATCTTCATCCCCCCCCACCCCACAACTCAGTCTCATTTCTTTAGCCGTTTTCTCCCTACCTTCTCTTCCCTCCCCATCAGACCTTCCACCCAGCAAGCTAAGCCACCTCAAGTAGCCATGCCCTCAGGGCCCTAACCTAAGCACCCACCAAGGTCATTTCCCCAACAGACTGTTTTTTTGCTTTTTTTTCCCCCGTGAGTGAGGTCACCCATAGGCTTAACGACAGAGCATACTTCAGACAGTTGTTTTACTAAGAGGAATCTGATGTCAGCTGCTAAGCTCCCCCCCAACACACACACTTTCCACCATCTCTCATTAATCACCTGGTCAGACAGAAGCCCAAGAGCAGGTACAAGCCAGCTAAAGGTGGAGCTTGGCAAGGCTGTCCACACAGAGTGGCCAGGCCCAGCACAGATCTGAGGGGCTTTTAACAGGCACAGACAGAGTCCTAAGATCACTACCACCCACCCACCCGGCCAGCCAGGCCCAGATAAACCTCTCCTTGTTCCAAATGAATGAGCCAACAGAAAAAAATTCCGAAGTGTGGAGGGAATACAACACCCACAATGCAGAAAATCACCCATATCTGAAATATGCTCACCTCGGAGAACCAGTCAGCTGTGGAAATTCTCTGCATCGTGCTCATAAGAAAACTGAAGAACACACAACACTTCATACTAATAGGAAAAGAATTCCTATAAGGAGCATATTTACTTGTTCCCACTGTTTGGTTTACTGAGCATGTATTATATGTATGATGGAAAAAAAGCTCAATCTAAAATATTGCCAACAAAGAACCCATTCCTCGTGTTGCAGTGACGAATTGGGCTGAGGTCGGCCTGGTTAAACTGGCTGCCCCCATCTAAGGCGCTGATGTGTCCTGTTACCAGCGGAGGACGTCCAGGTTCTTGGCATCTTGAACAAAGAACTGAACAAAACACACACACAGAGCGGGGTAGGAATGAAAGGATTTACTGAAAATGGAAGTACACCCCAGGGTGGGAGCAGGCCTGTGCACAGTGCATTTGCGAGTTAAAATACCCACTGGAGGATTCCATTGGTTACTTGGGGTACACCCGACGAAGATGGAGAGGATGAAGTCAAGTCACCAAGTCCTTTCTTTGGCCTACGCCCCATGGGGAGAGGATTTCCCGTCATAACTGAAGTGTGCATCGGCCGATGTCCCCTGCACCCAAACCCTACCTTCCTGCCTCACTACCTACAGCTATGTGGTCCTGAGCTGTCACCTCTTCCCTGTGAAGCTCAGGTTTCTCGTTGGTAAAATGAGGCAGAAATACCTACTGCTGAGATGTGTGAGGACAACAAACACAGCGTCTCAACACGTCTTACACGGGTTTTAGCCCTTTGAGCCGCTGAGGGCTGCCCCAGCTGGAACTCTCTTCACTTTTCTTGGAGAACTGACCATGGGTGGCTGCAAATACCAAATTGCTTCCTGTTTCAGCCCTGCCTGGGAAGATTCCTTCAGCTGGAGCCTTTAGGTTAGGAAAAGGGAGAAGGACCCAACTCCCACTGTACCCGGCCTGAGACAAACGCACAGAAGAGCAATCCTTGCTAATGCTGGGCAGTATGTGGACAGATACTGAATTTTAATCTTTGTATTGCCATGAGAATGCAATGACCAACACAGTTATTGCCCCCTGAACAGAGACGTAAAGTTCAGAAGAGATCCCTGGTGAGGAAGCCAGGGAACATTTCCCTGCAGAACAAGACGGGCAGCAGGATGAGATAGGGCTGATTTCACAGGGCTCCTCAGCACCCATGAACTTGAGAAACAAGTGGTCAGATGTATTTCAGTGCACTGGCCAGCAGTGGGGTCACGGTGGGAACTAGTCATGCCTGAAGGCCCTTCATCTTTCTATAACCCTCAAACACTGCGGCACCGGATGCTGTTCCCTCCTTTGGCGAGGGCCCCGGGGCTGTGATGCTTTAATCACAGTACTTCAGACCAAGAACCTGCAGTTGAGGTGGCTGGGGTCATGAACCAGCTGCCCTCCAAACCCCTTCTCATCCCACCAACCTAAGCTGCTTACAACCCCTCCAGGTACCCCAGGGGCCAGAAGGGAATGTCGTCCTTCATGGCTGAGGGAACACCTCTGCACCCTGGGGTAATGGATGGGACCACAGGCCATAATGTCTTAGTCTGTTTCATGTTGCTATACCCGAGGATGAACAGTTGTTTAGAAAAAAGCAAAGCAGGTTTATTTGGCACAAAATTCTGATGGAAATTTCAAGATTGGGCAGCCGCAACTGCTTCAACTCATGCAGAAATGGAAGGGGAAGGGCATGCGTGGAGATCGCATGGCAGCAGAAAAAGCCACAGACAACTCCAGGAAGGCTGCCTCTCTAACCAGCTCTCATGGGGGCTCACCCCTCCACACAGGGTACTCATCTCTTCGAGGGATCCACCCTATTACCCAAACTCCTCCTACTAGGCACCACCTCCCAACACTGCCACATTGGGGATCAAATTTCAATACCGGTTTGGGCGGGGGCAGACCACACAGGCAAATCCCAGCATGGGGTGCTGGCAGTGGGCGTGCTGACGCAGGGCTGCTGCCAACCCGGCACCAGCTGTCTCTTGGCCTTCCAGATCCTGGGAATCTGGCTACGGGCAGGAGTCCAGCCTTGGACACAGAGGTGGCTGCAGGAAGCTGTTAGCTCTGCAGATTTTATCAGCCTGGGAGAATGGCACAACACAGGCTTCCAAGGAAAGCCAGGATACTGGGCCAGCCTCAGCTCTGCTACACACCCCTATGTGGCACCTGGGCAAACCAGCAGCCAAGTACCCAGGACAGGGAAGACATGGATTCTTACTTCTCCGGGACGCCTAGGTGAAGCAGAGAGCAGACTCTTCTTGAGTCCTCTCGGCTCCGGTGCAACCACCAGCCTAGCAAGGAATCAGAAACATCTTCTGGAAGAATCAGCATCATAGGGGTGATGAATGGGCAGTGAAGTATCTCACAGGTGCTGGGCTATGGGGTCACTCTCTTTTCCAGACTGAAGCAAGGATAAGCACTCTGGGCCCCTGATCAGGGGCCTGGGGCCTGGCGGGATGAAAACAGCAGTGTGCAGCCACCCGTACAGCTGCTCCTCACGCAGGCCCCACCTGGCCTCTCGGAGGGCGGAACCTGGGACTCCTGAACCAGATTCAGTTTCTCCTTCAATAGTAGGGACTTTTCGCTCCTGACTGCAGAAAAATACCTTCAATGTGACCATCCTTCATAGCCCGAGGCTGGGTAAAATGGCCAAAATCTGAAAAGCGCTATTAGGTGGCAAACTGCTGTCACTAGAGGGCTGAGGCCCCGTTCCTCTCCTCTGCCTGACCGCCCTCGTTCCTGAGAAGGGAACAGGTTCTGGCAGCAAGGGTGAACCCTCGAGCAGGTCCCAGGATCACGACCCTCACCGCTCCGCCGCACTCGGTGGCTACAGCTGTAAATGTGGGTCCACGGGGTCACCACGGCCACCAGGACCAGGTGCCCGGCCATCTGCGGAACAGAAAAACGCCCAGCGGGATGCTCTGGCCTCCTCCCCGCCCCCCCGACAAGATGCAAAGCGTTCGACCCAAAATGCCTTGAAACGGAGCCCAGACCCCGGCAGGTCCGACCCCGGCGACGCCGCTCCCACAAGCTCCTCCCTCGGGGCCGTCTGACGTCCCAGGCGGTCACTCTCTTTTCCAGACTCACAGCAAGGCGCTGAGCCCGCTGAACTCCTAAGCCCTGGGGCCCGGTGGGATGAAAAGCCCTATTAGGTGGCAAAGGGGTTAAGCCTCCTTCTCCCCCGCCTGACAGCGACGCTGGAGAGCTCGCAACTCGCCTTCCCAAGCGCAAACAACCGTTCCTCCCAAGAACCCGCGGCCACCGCCTCCGCAGCAGAGCGCCGGAAGCAGAGAGCGTCTCGGGAGGGAGGTGCATGCTGGGAGCGGCGCTGCATGCTGGGAGCTGTAGTCTGCGGCGCAACTCGGCCAACGTGGCTCCCTGGTTCCTGACGTTCCCAGAGCCCGCGTGTGCAGGCGGTCCCGACACCGCGGCCCTAGCCTCACCGGCTCCCCGACTAAACGCCAGCCGGCCCTCTGGGTATGAGCGGCGGAGGTCGGGACAGTCCACGGCTCTGCCGCCCCCGGAAGGAAAAATCAGCGCGGACAGCAGCCCGGCCTCGCGAGAGCTGAGCTCAGGAGCCCCGCCTCCTGAGCCTCAGAAGTCCGTGGCGCTTTCCGTCGCCCGAGTGCGATTGGGCCGCGATGTCACGTGCCCCGAAGCGCCGCGCCCGATTGGCTGCCGCCTGGTTACCTATGGGCGACTCCGGTCCGGCGTCCTGGCCGGCCCAGCACCTGCGCGGCCCTCGGGCTTGGAGGGCTGGGCCGGGCGGGACGGGCCGGCGGCGGCGGCGGCGGCCTCGCCTTCTCTCCGGGGCTGCGACCCCGAGGCTGCCGGCTGCAGATGGGAGCCCGCGGAGCCGAGGATGCGGGCGGGCTGCGGCGCGACCCGGCGCGGGAGCTGTTCCGGGACGCCGCCTTCCCTGCCGCGGACTCCTCGCTCTTCTGCGACCTGTCTACGCCGCTGGCCCAGTTCCGCGAGGACATCACGTGGAGGCGGCCCCAGGTGCGGCGGGCGGGGTTTCTGGCTTCTGAGCGCGCCGATCCTCGAGCGAGCCGGCCGGGGTGGGCGGCCGGGGTTGCCCCGAACGCAGGGTCCGCAGTTCTCCTCAGAAGTGGGCGCCCGGCCCCCTCTTTCGTGGCTCCTTCCCACGCCCGCCCAGAACGAGCGGGAGTCCGCGCTGCCCCAAGGACACGAGGCGAGACCGCGGCCCCCACCTGCGAGAGCTCCAGTCCAGAAGGATGCCCAGAGCGCAGCAAGAGGCGTTTAGCAGGCCCAGCCCCTGC